GCAAGTATATAAGTATGTGAGTTGGGTATAAACACCGACCAACAAGGTATAAATAATGGTTGCTTAGGTATTATTTGTGTAGTGCCAGGTATCCTCGAATTTAGTTGATTTCAGTCAATCTCATGCAGAGGAACTGATTCACAAACTCGGTACGAGCACTTCCTCTGTTTAGTCATGACAACAATCATGTATTCTAACAACTAATATAATTTAACTTAGTCATTTATAGCTTGTTTAGTCATCTACAAGTGGAGGTTTGAGTATAATTCTACATATATCATACAATATAATTAAGTCATTTTTTTTACTTGTTTAGCCATCTATAGTAAATATGTGTTGTTTATCTCTTTATATAATTTAGGGTGTCATGGAAATACTATCACGATGAATTCATCCCTGATTACCGACAATAAATGAACATTTTGAACAAACAATGGTCGGTTACCTAAGCACAAGTTACCAAGGTATATATACTCGATATTGAAGCATGTGATACCAACATTATCGATACATAAGATCTGCGTTAGGGCATATCGGTATTTGATGCAGGTATGTTAGTATGTGCTCCAGGTACAAACACCGACATCCAAGGTATAAATAATGGTTGCTTAGGTAATATTTGTGTAGTAGCAGGTAGCCGTGAATGTGCTTGATTGTAGTTGATCCTCTTAGGGAGGGGCCAATTCACGAACTCGATGTGAGTACTTCTTCTCCCAGCCCCGATGAAAAAATTTAGGCATGGTACGTGTACATTCGACAACACATGCCCACACTTTTCAATGGCAAAACGATAAAACATGTACAAGTAACAACCAACATAGTTTAACTAAGTCTTTAATGACTTGTTTAGTCATATATAGTAAATATGTATTGTTTATCTTTACATACAGTTTTGGGATTCACAGGAATACTATAATAATACATCCATCCTTGATTACCGACAATAATTGAATGTTTCAAATAAAGAACGGTCGATTTCCCAAACACAAGTTACCAGAGCATAGATACTCGTTACGGGAGCATATGAGATCATATTACAGGTACGTAAAAACTATTGTGGCGTATGTCTTTAATGCAAGTATGTAACAATATGCTCCGCGTACGAGCATTGACAATCAAAGTATGATTGGAGTTGCTTTATTATTTGTGTAGTAGTAGATGTCCTTAAATGTGGTCAACTTCAGTCAATCTGTTGACGGATGAGACAATTAAGGAAGTCGGTGAGAGAACTTCCTCTATTACCCTCGGTGGAAAGGTTTGGGCATGGTACATTTACATTCAACAACTTATGTTATATTTTTCAATAGCATGATCACAAAGCATGTAACGTTATTCAATGGGTGTAATATAATTACTTTATGCATCGATAGAATATAACCGGTTGGATCCGCTGACATATTTTACAGTAGTAAATGGTATATAACTCTATTACACAGGTATATAATGAAATAGTAAAGGTTTGTAAATATATTCGGCAGGTATATTAATAATGTACTGAGGTATTTGATGATGCAGCTATGTAGGAACGAATGATAAATATAAATATCCTGTTATTTCTACAGTATTTGAATTCTATTATTGGGTAATCATTTGGAGTTCTAATAGTTGATTAAAATTCGTTGTTGTTGTTAAGTACAACCATTATCTATATAGCACACTAAACACCAAATTTCCAAATGCCACACAACTACATTGCTATTATGAAGTTATATATGTTAATACTAGAGGTATGTATATGTATAATGCAAGCATGTTGGTAATGGAAGGAACTATCTGGTGATGCTAACATGTGGAAAAAAATGGTAAATATAATATCATGTTGTTTCTATAATGTCAACTCCGATGTTGAATAACGTGGGCTACGGGCTAAAGTTATTAATCAAGACAAGCAGACGCTGCCACTATAGCCTCATTTTTGGGCAGTCCAAAAAATGACCGAATGGAGTCATTTTGATGGCTCTAATATATTCATCCAATATACGTTTCTTCATTTTTCTCCACCTCGTTGTGAAAAAATGGTATTGCAAATCGGATGATAACCTATTTGTATTCCTTCACCGGTTTGTAAATAAATACCACCAGTCCACATTACCCGAACCTCAAATTTATTTAAAAGATTATCAGAATTTATCAGGAGTACGTAACAACACATTTCGATACATAGTAGTCTCATAAATGTATATTACTTAGAAAACTATACTTGAAACATACAACTCGGGGTACTTAACAATACTATATTTGTCAACCCACAAACATGACTAATTACCGAACAATCAAACAAAAAAACTAAAACTATAACCAAACAAAATATACATCTACAAAATTAACAAAAATAATAAATTAAATAAATAAAATCATCCAAAATCAGTGCCAAAATAAAACACTCAACTCGATGTATCTGAGCTACGAACGATTTCAAATCCGATTAACAAAGAAAACTACACCGATCACTTAGGGCTTCTTAACACCAAACCAATGCATACAAACACGGGATCAAAACTTACACCCCAAATAATCGAACAAACTACGGTATAAAATATCAATGTCAACAAATCAAAACTTTAAAAAATCCAACCAGACACTTACTTATTCGAGCTTGTCTTGGGGAAAGGGAGCGGCCTGTTGTTTTCTTAACATTTTTGTACCGAATCGGTTGTTACTTGATCGCCGGAGGTTGGAGAACCCCTGTTCACCTAAATGGAAGAAAAATGGTTTAAAATCGATGTGAGAGGAGTTATGAAAGGTTTCAAGTCTTTACCTCTATTAATCGTAAATTAATTGTTTTTTTTTAATTCACAGAATGAAAAGGTACGCGATTTCTAACTAGAAGTATATAAGGTTATAATGAAGGTAGAGCGGGAAGTAATATAATTATATATTACAATATTTGAAGTATTGATCAACCTATTTCGAGTACATGTTGTATATACACGTGATTGAGGGAAAAATACACATTAGAGTATTGCAGTCTAAATTTATTTTCAAGCAAGTGTATTTGTCTATGGATTTTAGTCCAACTTCCCCAAAATTTAAATCTAATATAAATGAATGAAAGTTAAACCAATAAGGTAATAAAAAAAACTTAATCATCTATGAACAGCAGCAGCATCATTGCGCCTCTGATTCTTCCCCTCTCTTGGACCGCTCCTCGCTTCACCGAATGCTTCTGTAAATCATCAATTCTCATTTGCGCTGCAAAAATCTCCATGAAAGTATTAGCGAGCATTCAGAGTTCCTGCGTAATCGCTTGTCTTCGCGCCAAAAGATGGACTGTTTGTAGCAGATTTCGATTGATTAATTATTATCGTCGTTTAGTCACTTCTTTTTGGTTTTGGTTTAGTGCAGAGCTAGCGATTGAAGCGGCGATTATAGGCGGAATCGAAGTTGTAAGTTGAAATCCTTCAATTCGAACGCCATAGTTTGATTATATGTTTTCTGGAGTTACATTGTATTCAATCGTTCTGTAAGTGTAGTGTGAGATGCAAAAGATTATGTTGCAGTAATATTTGAGCAGACAATTTTGCGCCAATTGAACAAATAGTGCAGAAATTTATTGAATTAAGATTTTGAAAACTCCCATGAGATTCATTGTTTGTCTGACCGACCAGGTATGGTATTGCCTTTCAATTTTTAGCTGGAAATCACAATGTCAACTCCAGGTGTTTTGAGGTAAATGTCTGCAGAAATATGTACATTTTAGCCTCCCGCGAACTCCGATTTTATGTTTCTTGAATGTTTCATTTCCACAGGTTTTGCAATGTTTGATCCAAGAATATCCTTGGGCATCATTAGGGGTGAGTTCTTTTCAAGTCACTCCACTTACATGTTCATCACTCTTGCTAGATTTCCTCATTTGTGTAAATTCGTCATGTTGTATGGATGGATCTCGGATATGATATATTTTTACAGATGGAGTTACAGTATGCTCATCAGATATTCTTTTCTGTTATCTAAGGAGGATACTAATCTTCATTTAAACAAAAACAATTCAATAATTAGAACTGTTCATGATGGATGATTCTGAATTTTCTAAATCCATCTTAGAAGCTGTCATTTTGATGTCTTCTGGGCATTAAAGGCTGTTCTACATATGGGCAACTTATAATTTTCCTATAATTTCATCGAACTCTCGTATCAAAGGCAGTAGTTAATCTGAAGTTCTCTCTTATTCTTAAGAAACATGAGGAATTTGGAAAAACGGCACCTCATTTCTTTTGTTTAAACACCTCTGAGTTTCCTCAATTCTGCAGGTTGGAACTGTTTTAGATAGAGCAGATGCCAAAGAGGCGTTCAAGATTGGAGCTAAGTTTCTAATGAGTCCTGTAATGGTGAAGGTACAAGTAAACCTTCACTATATACCGCCAGATTGAAGCTGATTGTTTAATTGTGCACAAAACAGTATGTTATTTATCATAAGAAAACCCAGTTTCTACTTTTACTCCCATTTTATAGAATTTCAATCTATGCTTAAATCATATGATTTTAGTCTACAATCTATATATATATATATATATATATTTCTGTTCAAAATTATGGAATCTAAATTAATATGTACATATATATTGTTTTAACAGTATCAAATTGATATGGATATTTCTTGTGGGACTAGACATACATTTTAGCATGTCATCTTGTCTTATCTGATTTCTTCTGAGTGTATTTATGATGTGTTAAGTGGCTTCCATTTATAAAGAAAACATAATGTAACAATCTTTGTTCTAAACAATACCTTCATATATTCATTGTCGGACATTTGATTGATGGTATCGGGAAATTCTAGATGATGTTGCAGAGTTTCAAGCACTGTACATCCCTGGAGCAATGACTCCAACTGAAGTATGCATAATTCTTATTTGTTTTGTATTTTATTATTCCTTCGGGAGCAACAATTTCAGTAATGACTCAAATCATCGATTTGAATCTATGTATTTTTTTTTTTTTTTTAGAATCTCTGGACTTTTCCTGTAAATTATAGTAATATATAAAATGTTGATATGCAGATATTATTTGCATCAAAAGCTGGTGCTAGAATCGTCAAGGTTAGTCATCTCATTTCATTTGCAGATATTACCATCTCCCAACTTTTTTTTTGAAATTTCCTCAACTTCTTGACTTTGTATCCTCTCTTTCTGATTTTTCCCACTGCTTTTCTCTATGATAGCATCGAGGTTTATTCTCCTATAATCTTTTCTTGTATCACTCATTATTCTCTTAAAGCAATTCATGCTTCGTCTCCACCACTTTAGTCTTAAAATTCTTTCTATAATTATCGACTTAACGCTATTTTTGTTACACATAAGAAGACAATAGAACCCATATCTTTCAAATGAACTTATGATCTCTATTATTATTTTCTCTCTGGAACCACGACTCTGAAAAATAATCTATCAAAGGCAGGTATGCTATGGTTGATGTTTTCTATTTCTCTCGGCTGTTGCATTTAATAAGCTTTCTCAGTTGAACATATTTGGATTTCTTGTCCAATTCTGTATATGTCTATCAAAAGTTTTATATTAGATCATCATTGGAGTCACAGATTCTTCTGCTGTTCATAATTATATATCCTTTGTGGTCTTGCTTTATTTACTCATGCTCATATCTTGTTTCGTTTGTTCTTTTTTCATTTTTCTTTTAAAAGGTTTACCCTGTCTCTGCATTAGGCGGCGCTTGTTATATTGCAGCAGTAAAGAAGCCATTTCCCCATATCTTGATGGTTGCATCACAGGGCATAACACTAGGTCAGGGAGCAGCACAATCAATGAATCAAAGCTTATTTTACGTCTCATTCAAATTCCAAAAACGTTTTGAAGTATGAATTGTGATGCAGGGATGAGTAAAGGATTGGTGAAATTCATGAGATGAATGTTTTCAGACAAATTAGATTTTACTGCTTTTTTCTTGTCGTATCATATACACTGTGTTTTATTCAGACTGATCGACATCTTTGCCTTGAAACAGATTCAGTGGGAGAATATATTGCTCAGGGAGCATCTTTAGTTGTTTTATCTGATTCTATATTCGAGAAGAAGGCAATGAACGAACAAAATTTTGATCGTGTGTATCAACTTGCTCGCCGTGAAGCATTTCATGGCCATGAGGCTACAAGGTTATTACATTACCTCCTTTCTGCCTGCTATATCTATATCGGCTTTCAAATCTCACCTGAAGTCTCTTTCATCACTTTGAGGATACAAAATACCATTTACGTTAGGTGATTCTGTAGTCACAAATTTGGAACCATCCTGTCCGAAAGTAATACTTATATCTCATTTGTTTTTTCATAGTAGATTCTGAAAAAAGTAGTACTCCATTCATCTCCTTTTAATATATCCCTTTGATTAATAAATAATAGTATTTTATTGGTTAGTAGAGTGTGAGAAAGTTTTGATATTTGTGTGCTTCGTAATTTATAAGTTATGTATAAATTAATTATATGTGTAATGATATGTTCGTAATTTATATAAAAATGAAAGATATTTTGATATTATTGGTGATTATAGTAAAGAGATACAATTCGGTGCGACAAACAAAAATGGTACATTAGATGGGAATTGGGGGTGTATTATATTTGTGTAATGTGGAAAAGTATAAAATACCTTTGGGTTTAATGGAGTAAAGATCAAAATGCGTGATGATATTTTGGTAAATAGAGGTAAGAATGAGTGTAAATTGATAATTAGGTATGGGACCACATATATTATAAATGAAAAAAAAAAAAAGACTATTTAGGTAAGACAATAGTAAATAGTAAGTGAAATAGGCCCTATTGGCAGCTCAATTTCGTATGAAGTATTATGCAGATTCTCATTGTCGTGAACGCGAATTTAAAGAAGTAGATTGGGTTTACCTCAAGCTTAAGCCTTATCGCCAACTTTCACTTCACTCCAAGGATGTCTGGAAGTTAAGCCCCAAGTATGCTGGTCCGTTCAAGATTTTAGCTCGTGTTGGTGTTGTTGCCTATCGCTTGGAGTTGCCCACATCTTCTCGCATCCATCCAGTTTTCCATGTTTCTCTTCTGAAGAAACATGTTGGTCCACTGTCTACTGTCACCGCCTCCTTGCCTTCTTTTGATGATGATGGGAAGATTATGTTGCAACCAGTAAAAATTTTGGTCCGTCGCCTTGTCAAGCGAGGATCTTCGCCGGCAACCCAACTCTTGGTTCAATGGGCTCACCTTCCTGAGGAAGAGGCCACATGGGAGTTCTTTGAGGATTTCAACACACGCTTCCCTGGTGTTGCGACTTGAGGACAAGTCATGTTTGAAGGGGGAGGTATTGTCACGAAGAAATGAAGAAGGAGAAGAAGGCAAATATTAATAAAAGCGTTAACTTGTAAAAGCGTAAAAGCGCTTCTTCCTAATTTTGCAATTTAGGATTATATAAATACCTGTATAGAACCAATTTTGGGGATAACAAAAAATCTAACCGAATTACCTGTCTTCTTCTTCCCAATCTCTCTGATCTCTCGCGCGCTCACGTCAGAGACGTGACATATACCAGCTATATTATTTTAGAGGTTGACCGCAATATAACAGTAGTCGAGATCGACAACTTTGGGTTTGTTCACTTTGTGTTTTTAGATGGATATGTTTTATATTATGTTGGAATTGTGTTGGTAATATTAAAAATAATATTTTGTATTGAATTGTTGACTTTTTCTGTGAGTGTTTAAAGTATACTCCCTTTGTCCTGTCACATTTACTTTTTGTGTCATCGTACTTAACATTAAAAATATTGTTATACTTGTATAATTTTTTGTACAGATATCCTTCTATTAGTATTCTAAGATACTAATTGAAGTATTTTTGCAATATTTCTTAATTTATGTTACGTTTTAATATAATAATTAATATTCAAATATCAATACGCAAATAGTAAATTAAACTCTTAGAGCCGGATGGAGGTAGTATATACTATTATATATATATATTGTGTTAATGTATACATATTGTATTTTTTAATACTCTCTCAGCTCCACTCCAAAGTACTTTTTTGAGATTTTGTAGTAAATTAAAATATAATAGTATTTTGTTGGTTGTGAAAGTGTGTAATGTTATGACATTTTGTCATTTAACTTTACATATAAAGTAATTATATGTGTAATGTTATGCTTGTAATCTAAATAAAAATTAAAGGGGGGAAAGAGATATTTTTTAAGTGTGATAGACGAAATGAATATTTATGAGGTATAGTTCCATTTAAAAATACTAAGTGAACAAACCCTATGGTCCGAACCATTTGATCTGTGCCATGTTTTTATTTTTCTGAAGCATCCCATATGCAGGAGAACCGTCAAGAAGCATACAACAGTGTGACAACATCAACTGAAAGCTCACAAACTCGACAAAAAGATGAACCGTCATATTAGATGTAGTGCCTATAGCTGCAGACGGCCGACACTTCCAAAGGTACGTGTAATCAAATATATTCCCTCTTACATGGAGAAAAAACACCGGTCGCCTCTCCAAGCTACGCACCTTGATGAAATCCTGATTTTCAATGGTAAAATAACAGGGAAACGCACGGCAAATCCTTGATAAGATCTCAACCACGTCGATGATACTCAAGAAGCATAGGCTTGCTGCAAGTCATGGAGTCGGAGAAATTCGGGGCAGCTTTACTCAGGTTAGGTGTTTATGCTCTAGTGAAAGTTTCATATTATGTTGAAAATGTTTTTGAGCATGTTCACTTTTTAAATAAGCTCTATTTTGTGAGTTTTATGACAGATTTTTATTAATTTTTTTCTAAGATATTAAATCAAATAATTATTTTTTTTTATATTTTATATTCAAAATATCAAATCAATATTTATTTATATCATATCAAATAACTATTCAAATTTAAATTTTTACCACTAAAAAATCCAAACCCACAAGATATGAAAATCATACCAATAGTACTAAAAATTTGGGTTAAGTAGCTCTCTTTATACAGTGGTTTGTTTGGGTTTGATTTGAACAACATTCAATTGGACAGTGAATTGAAAAATATCAATGATAAAGTAGGGTATGAGTGTTTGGTACAAGAGAAATGTTACAAGATAAATACAAATATTTTATTTCTCTATTGAAAAGTAAATTATTTTTTATTCTCTTGTTTCATTTTTCTTCTATACGCATAAAAACAAATATTTTATTTCTCTATTGAAAAGTAAATTATTTTTTATTCTCTTGTTTCATTTTTCTTCTATACGCATAAAAATGGTGAGAAATGAAATTGAGATAACGCAATTTAATAAAGAATCAATTTTCATTCTCTACCGAATTTTTCTACTATCATTCATTTGTCATTCTTTGTACCCAAGGCAACTGAGCATTTCAACCTAAAGTCATCTCTAACCCATCAGTTTTAACTCTGTAACATTTTACTCTAACCATAACTTTATTTTTCACTATTATTTTTTAAATATTCAATTTTTCCTATTATTTTAAACACTTTTTTATTTTTATAATTTAAAATAATTTAAAATAAAAAATTAAAAAATTAAAAAAAGAAATATAGGATGCAACGCCATTTTTCAACGTCGCTACAGTCAACACCAAAAAATGGCGCAAGATTTGGGGTCGGTTAGAAACAACCGACGCCAAATCATCCAACCCAGCGCCATTAATGGCTCTGGGTTGGAGATGCCCTAAGTTAATTCACTCATGTTTGTCTTGTTTTTCGGAGTTCCGGTTTTGACAATAGTAGTGCGAAAAATTATTATTATTATTATTATTAAAGTAGTTGATTACACACGCTCAATCCTATTTCAATTCAAATTAATTCATTACAATATTCAATATTTTTCTTGTTGATTACACTTCAAGAATACTAAACCTCACAAATTATCGATTATTTTGAAAAAAAAATAAAATTTTTGTTTGGTTTTGATTTAAAATTGAGATTTTGATTTAAATTTTAATTTAAATAGTATTTTAAAATAATATTTTGTTAATATATTTTTATTAGAAATCATACGGAATCAATAGTGTTATTTGAAATAAACAACAAATACTCTAAATATTTATAAATCTATTTAACTAATTAAATATTATTAAAAGAAGTTTTAAAAACCAATTGATTAGAAAGAAAATTGAAAAAGAAAAACAAATCTCACATTGTTCTTCTTCCAAACCCTGTCCACGCGCAGTTGGGATTCGCCATCGCTGATTATGGTCATGGATCGCCTTAATGTTTCAGATATGTCGCAGCATATTATCTCAATGTATCTGTAAAATATCGATTATTAATTTGCTATTAGCATAAATTACAAATACTTTAATAACTTTATAATTAGTATAAAATTTATGTAAAAAAATAAATTTAAACAATAATTTTATAATTAGTACTCCCTCCATCAACAAATACATTAATAACTTTATAATTAGTATAAAATTTATATAAATAAATAAATTTAAACAATAATTTTATACTCTTTTCTCTTTGTCCCTTAGCAATATACCTATGTTTTCGTCCATTCCATAACAAAGTATTCATTTTTTTTTAGTAATTGTATTATCTACTTAACATTACAAATATTCTTCTAATTTACAATATATTACATAAATATCATTACTTTTATATTCATACAACATAGGTTTAATTTAGTTTTTTATTTTTATTTCTACTACATTTCAATATAATACTAATATTTTTAAAACTCTTTAAAAAAGTAAATGAATAGATAGATATGAGACAGATTGAGTAATTATTACTGTAGTTAATACTCTATCGCTGTCCCATAACAAATTATCTATTTTTTTATTTTAGTCCGTCCCATAACAAAGTATCAATTTTCTTTTTTTAGTAATTGTAGTATCTACCTAACATTACGAATACTCTTACAACTTACAATATATCACACAAATGTCATTACATTTATATTACACAATACTAATAAGGTTATTTTAGTTATTTTTACTTTATTCCTACTAAAAACACGTGCAAAAAGCAAATGGATACATAGTTATGAGACGGAGGGAGTATTAAAAATATCTTTCTATAATTTTTTTACAAATGTCTTTTATTAGTATTATAACATTTTTGCATTTTTTTTGTTAATTTATATTACGTTTTGATATAATAATTAATATTCAAATATCAACGTTTCAAATTTGCAAACAGTGTTAATCACAATTGTGAAATATATTTAAAAGCAATATATTATATTTATGATATTTATATTATTTAAGAAATTCGTAGGATTCTTGTCTTATTTAGATGATTTATATATCACTATAAATATAATAAAAATATATACGTATTCTTATGATTGAAATAGAGAATTTCATTTTCATATTCTAACATTATTTATATACAAATAGAGTGAAAACCTTCTGGTAATTAATCAAATGAAACAAAAACGTAAACGCTCTCTCCAAATTTTACCTGAAGACGCCAATAAGATTTTAATGTCGATCCAAATGTGTTTATGAGAGGTTGAGAGAGAAGAGTGGAGAGAGGAAAGAAATAAGAACGAAAAATCCTTCGACGCCATCTCTATATTGTATGAGGCACGTTTGAAGTTAAATCAAAATTTCTCTGTCGATTTTTCGAGTGTTTTATCAAACTTTCTTTTCCAGGAGGAGGGGAGATAACCTCAAAATTAGGAAAGAAGACTTCTAAAAAAAATTCAACATGGATCTGATGCCGAAAAATTTATTTCAGCACCATGCTAATAACTAAAATTTGATTATACATAATTATATTAATTACATAATTTAATGATATAAATTAATATTACTAACTTTTTACCTATTCAGCTATGTGCTGAAAGTATTAATTTCAGCATTTGATCATCTTCTAAAAAAGTTAATGTATTTACTTTAAGAATTACTATTACAGGGACTCTTAAATTATGAAAATATTGTATTTTGAATGTAATATAAAATTTTATTACTTTTATTTTTATTTTCTTCTTTCAATTTTTTAATGTGTAGACCTCAAAGTACTATATATAATTTTTTTTAAAATTATTACTAGTATTTTTTAATACTCCCTCCGTTCACACACAAGGTAAACATTTATTTTTTGCGCGGTATTTTTAAAATAATAGTATTTTAATTATAGTAGGTAGTTAAAAGTAGTAAAATGACATTTTTGCCATTACTTTTTTTGTGTAAAAGTAATGATGTGATGTAAAGTAAAGGTATTTGTCGAAAAAAGTGAGGTATTTAAGGAAATATTTACTTTGTAATTAGACGTCCCAAAATAGAAATATGTATATTTTCTAGTTGAACGGAGAGAGTATATTATACTTGCTCCGTCCTGGTGCAAAGAGACTTTTTGGGGTAATCAGGGTTTAGTGTGGGAGTGTGCAAGAGATTTTGACATTTTTGCCTAAAAAGTAATTTTATGCGATAATCAATATTTGTAATTTAGGTAAAAATTAAGGGTGTGTTTGTTTGGGGGTTTGGATTTTGAGTTGAGATTTGAATAGTAAAAATTTTGAATTTGAATAATTGTATGATGTGATATAAATAGACGTTGATGTGATGTTATAAATGTAAAATTGATTTTTAGTATAATATAAAAAAAGAAAAATAGGTGTTTGATTTGATAATTTTGGGGAAAAAAAATGAAATGAATAGTGTATTTAGAGAAGAATGCCCCAAACAAACACACCCTAAAAGTATTTTGGTATTGATATGATTACTTTTAGAGGAATAGTTTGTAATGATATAAACTGAAGTGATAAAAAAAAAAAAAATACTTTTAGGGTGTGTTTGTTCGTGGGATTGGATTTTGGAATTGGATTTTTTAGGATTTTAAAGTATGGATTTGTAGTTGTGTTTGTTTAGGGGATTGAATTTTGTAATGATTATGTTGGAAGTAATTAGTATTTTATTGAAAGATATGATATGTTGATGTGATGGTTTGAATTAGATGATATTGAGATATAATTGAAAAATATTATTGAAAATGTTGAAATGAAAGTTTGATGTGATGTTTTAAAAAAAATTAATATTTTATATTATTAAATGATATTTTGTTATGTTGTGTGTGTAAATGTTGATTTGATAATAATTTTTATTTGAAAATTTTATAGAATATTCCCAAAACACGTCCCCGTTTATTTTTTTTATTATTTCTTGTTTATTTTTTTATTATTTCGTCTTTCAGACAGTTGTTATACGTAATCAAAGTTTTCAGATTTGTATGATTTACACAATTTCGTTTTTCTAAAATCATCAAAGCTAATATTTGGGAAGTAATTTTCCAAGTCAACATGTATGTACATTGTATCATACCGTTATTTGTGTTCAATTTTTCACTATTCAAATTCAAACCGAAAAATGTCGAATCCCTGTAGAGAAACACCACTTTTCTTTTCCCCACACTCCATCGAATTTGTTGCAAGGTTTATGTGTTTCATTCCGTTATGCATGACAATTCGTCCAAAAGAAACAAAGGAATCGAAGCGACATCAAACATGTATAATGAGGTGCAATGCAGGTTTACGGTTCAACAAAACACATTAATGCCATAGCGTACACATTACAATATTCAAGCGTCGTAAAATTGGTACGTAAGTGTGTACATTGGTTTCGGCACGTGGCGAGGCCTGCTACACCGCTGCGTTGTCGCTGTTGTTCATTACTACAAAAGAAGTACTACGCATACCTGGATACGTGTTACATTTACGCCATCATCCGCGCTCCGAGGGTGAAGCACGGCCACGTCGCATTTCTGTCATGAAGACTCGCAGCTCTGCCCACATTCCATCGACCTTTTCCTCTAACCTGTCGAAGCGCTCGTTGAACATTGTATATAAGTCAGAGTCGCTCGGGGTGGGATGCTGCGGACCGAGCTCAGTGTGAGTAACAGGATCGCCCCGGCGGTGGCGTTGCAAAATTCTCATACTGAAAAGAGTCTCTACTCCACACGGAACCATTTGAGAATCTGGAACTCCGTCCATCAGTTCGGTTACCCCCAAACCCTCCGCCAGCCTGGTAACGTATGGGCCGACGGGAATGCTGCGGACCCTTGTGTCAGAGGCAGCCGTTATACAAAGTCTGGCCACCCAATATCCCAGATGGATTGGAACCCCTTCGTTCATGCTCCAAAGGAACTCCAAATCCACCTTACTTACTGTCGCAGTTGCATCTTTCCGGCCAGAAAGTGTATGAGCAAGTATGTTGTGAACGTACCTTAAAATAGGCGACTTCAGTGTCGATGCCTTGGAAGCTCCTGGGTTGAAGTTTCGGGTGCGGCTTATTCTAGGCCAGTATACTGATCAAGAAAGAGGCATTGTATAGGTCATGTTCTTGTACTCGTGTGTCTCTTTGAATTCACGGTCATATAGTCCTAGTGCGATGGCGAAGTCCGTGACAGATAGTGAGTAGCTACGGCCTCCCAAGCGAAACTGCAGGGCATTGGGTTTGTCATATAGATACAAGCTCGCCTTGTCGTGCTTTAGTGTACACAGAAACTCTAATGTCAGTTCCTTGTACGAGGGCTCGTTGATCTCAAACAACCTCCGCCACGCCCCACACGAAAGTAGTCTCTCTATCTCCATTTTCCCACCCATAGCTTCCATGGCGTCAGCATCGATTATGCGTCCAGTTAGCATCGGTAAAATGCTTATTCTCTGGTACGTATCCTCAATATCCGGTTCAGTGCGGCGTAACCAATTGAAGGGAATCAAAGTGACCTCATCATCTTCTTTGGCCATGTCTACAGTAGAGAGTTTGCGCGATCGCTTCCCTCTCGCCGGTTTCATCATACTTGGCCCCCTACGTCCTGCAAGGATGTTACAACGTAAACGTAACTACAAATAACAAATATGACAAATTTTATGCAGTAATGATATCTTTCGTATGAAAACATTATGCAGTGAAGATATGACTGTTATGAATGTGCACCGAAAGTATGGCAAAGTGCGCGGGAAAACTGAGCGCAAAGTTCGGCTAAATGCAACGGAAAATATTCGAATACCATATTCAACCGCATGTACAGAAATTTAAGCATCCCCTTGCAATCGGCTACGTAATTATCTGGTATACTGCATAATGGAACACCGCGCTCGTACGCGCAGGTGTGCTGTTCATCGTGTTCATTCTTGGCTCCTTGCAACGGGAGATACACGAATGCCATATTCAACAGGACATACAGAAATTAAAGCAGCCGCCGGCACAGCCTGTGCAGTCGGCTGGGTAAATCTCTGTTGGACTGCAGGATAGAACACCCCGGTCGTACACGTAGGTGTGCTGTTGAACGTGTAAATCTCTGTCCTTCGCAATGGTCACTGCAACATTGCCCTTTTGTGAAGTTATGGAAGAAAACATAATGAATTAGATGCGTACAATTCTAGACAGATTACGGATAATGGTAGTTTATAAAATAAGTGGGGGAGCATTACACAAGGACTCATAACGGGGAGGCGGTTAAGGGCATGCATACAATTCTAGACGGATGAGTCTTCAATTCGATTATACAACTGCGCGTGGAACGTCATACATAAAATAAAGGAAACGCACCCTACACCATCAAAGGCAGAATCCTAAGTAGGCCACAAGGAGTCAAACTCTTCCTTGTGCTCGTATCTATTAATCCAAAGCCAGTCTGCAATCATATCACATAATTCATTCTGATTTTCCCTGTCTTCACGGCCCGGGTTCGGTGTTTGGCGATTGTGTGCAACCGGTTGAGGGACTGATTTCTCATCAGTTGAGTCGTGGCCTTCTGCGGCGTGATCTAGTACATCCTCACCATGGAGTAACATAAAGTTATGCACGATGGCGCAGGCCATTACAAAGTTGACTTGGCGATCAAACTTGTAGTTTGGCATTGGCCCGTGAAGAATGGCGAAACGATGTTTAAGACAACCAAACGCACATTCAATGACATTACGGCATTGTGGGTGTTGGTAATTGAAGTATTCCTCCTTACCTCGAGGACGTGGGTTGTTTCCCTGAAAATCCGATAGATGATAGCGATATGTGCGGTACGGTGTAAGGCACTGAGGAGCGTTCATGTACCCAGAGTCCCCGATATAGTACTTCCCTACATTATGAAAAAAGAATATGAGGTGATCGTAAATGAGAAACTGCCAAGTCACGATGGTAGTTTGGCATATACTACCGTCCGGCGGGAAGGGGAAATCGCCTAGCTCTCGGATAGCGACCCTTAAGACACAAGCATCATGTGCGCTCCCTTCCAGGCCAGCGAGCACATACGTGAACTTCATGTCAAAATCACAAACCGTAAGACAATTTTGCATCGTGTCACCCCTTCTCCCGCGGAAGAGTCGTTGATCCCTATAAGGTAAGCATGCGTGCACCAATGTTCCATCCATGGCGCCCACACAATCCTAATGAAAGGAGACGTCATCATAGAATGGGAAGATGACGCAAGCAAACTAGGGATGCAAGTAGATGCAATTACCTTGAAGTACGGCCAAAAAATTGGGGAATCACGAATCTTCCTCGCAGGGGACGACATGTCCCCAGGCCGGATGACATGAGGTGCTAGGCGCACAAGCGCTTTGGCCACCTCGTTAACGTGGTCGCAAATGGTCGATGTCGAGTGTTGGAAACGTTCTGCAGTGGAACGTTGCCGGTTCGAATGGGCAACTGTGTGTAAAAATATTGCTACGCGCTCTTGAACTTTTACTCGCTGTCTTGAATGGCATTCCAGAAGTCCCTTTTCCACCAACGTGGCACAAAAATCTTGAAACGTGTCAGATGATACCCGCAATAAATTTTTAATCCTAGCGGGGTGCCCATTAATCAGCTCGTGGGTGAATTCTTCCCCTCCGAGCATCGAGTCATAGCAACGATGCATCCTTGTACTTGAGGCTAACGCCACAACGGCAGTAGTTGCCATTGCATAAAACAAAGTGGCCCCCTTCTCCTCTTCCCCCTCTTTTTTTTTTCTCTCAAACGAAGTGCTTGACGGAGAAGACTGTGCGTCGAGTTGGTTGATTCATTGGGATTCGGCATGTGTTGTCTGCATGTGAAGGAAATACGATAATAAATACATTGCGTGTCGTTGTAATGGCGACGCAACCACTCTTCTGATAACATGGCATTAAGTTGACATAAAGAAACAAACATTCCGGAACCTGAAGTCTACGTTACGGGCCGACAACATCGACAACCACTCCCAACGAGCACATGATAACAATCCGCTCTCCGCCTAGGTGATGTGAAATGGTGAAATTATAAGTTACAACTAGTTAAGGATAAGACCTACACCATTCAACAGCAAAGATCCAACTTAATTTTCTACATTCTCAAATCAGTCCGAACCAACAAACTGGTGGATCCATTGAATCCGATCCTCTTCATCTAACGACAACCAATAGTCGCGGTACTCTGGAAAAGTAAACATCTTGTTGGCCTTTTTCCTGACGTCGGCGCTTATGGGCACGGCAAGGAGAGCGGCTGTCACCTGTGCCACCTGCTCCTTATTTTTAGCCTTCTCTGCTTCCTTTTCCGTAGTAGTACGACTCAATATTTTCGTCAGTTCGTCACGAACCACAACATGTACCTCCTCCGCCTGACTTGAGGTTCGCCTCCGCCGAACCCTTCTAACACTTGGTCCGGCCTCAGAGGGTCTAGTGTTGCCTGTCCCCGTGCCTGTACTGCTCGTCCCATCCAACCCCCCTTGTGTGCCAGCAGTTTCATCATTTGTGTTCGGTTCAACACTTGGTTGGCTACCCGGTCCATTCATTGCACTATCGCACCCGGAAGATAATGGTCTATGTGCCCCCTCCCCGGTTGGACTAAACATATCGTGGCAATAGTCCAAGTGCGCGAACGGTTTCGTTAAGAGCGATACGAAGTCTTTATGAGCCTGAGAGAGTATGGTTAAACTAGGCCAACGAAACTATAACGTAAAGGGTTAATGATACGATTGGTTGGAAAGCGTGAATACGATATATACCCGAGCCCAGTCAATTTTTCTCTACTCGTCTGCTACTATCAACCGCGAGTCTGGATCCCATCCAAGTCCCGTTGTCGTCACCACCAACACTTGGAGTTCCAAGTACGTCTTCTTCGTTCGCTTTAGTTTCGTCTGGAGTTGGTCTACTATGTACTGGACATTCATCTCCGCATTGAACTTTGCCGTGATATCTTCCCACACCTGCCATTGCAACCACACAGGGTGGAGGAAACACTCCTCTTGTGGCAACAACCAACAAGCCTGCGGTGTGGGAGGGTCCTCCGCTGCGCTCCTTCCGCGTGGCATTGTCTGACCAGGAGATCCAAAATACCAATTATTCTTGTATGCAATGTTCGTTTGACTCTTCATTCTACGAACCGGATCTTATGTAATTTATAAACGAATGCATTCTAACCTTGCGTTTTATCCCGCGTTTCGGAGGGGGGTCGCAGCTCCTAGTTGAACTATACGCGTCCGGAACTTCACCCTCCAGTTTGCACCCTATATGCGTTAAAGGGTATGCACAAACTTTACTACTACGCTTTCAACGCTGTAATAGGAATAGGTTATGCCATGTCCGCCTTCTCGCACGGCATCTATATGATTTTAATTATGATACCCCTAGATCCCTTCACACACTAACGTTACAACTTTTATTCCAAAAGAAACCATTTATGATTTTTGGAATGATCATGAAAGCATGTTAATATTGTGGTACTGGCTAACACAAAAGCTTCATATACTTGAATCAATTGCAAATTTCCAATATTGAAATAATAACTACATGAAATAGCTACTAAGATAATGGTGAATACGCATGTTCGCATTTATAAATTTAAAAAGCATTAGCATTAAGCGAAGATGTAGGACCTGAAGTAACGAAGCACTAAAAATTGAAACCCCAACCGGCGAAGATCTTTACATTATTCTCCCAATCCAACAACCCCCCCATATATATAAATCCAACCAACAACGACTTTTTCTTTTCGTACAACTCAGTGGACAATGACAACTAAGCTTCAGGTTTATCTTAGGGGTGTGAACACCAACGATGAAAGGGGAATTGGACCTAACATATATGGAATTGATTGAACAAAACCTCATAGTAATTCCAACAAAAAAGACAACACACATTCAACTCAATGTTAATCCAAATTATTTGATTTTCATGGAAAATGACTTTGCTATCATTGTGGTGCTCAAACTCAGTACAACAATGCAAAATAAAACTGCACCAAGTTGTACGAAACACAAGCCACACACATTAATCGTTGGCGGAAAACCAGTATCTACGTCACGGGGTGACAAGCGAGAAGCGTATGTACCCAATTTCAAGCGAACTACAATCGATTTTTCATAAGAAAGTACTTCGCAACATCTAATTCAGCTAACATAAAAACACATTTCAACTTGATTCATACACTTACCATCTGCAAATAAACAAAATTCATATCAATTTCAACCTAAATCTTAATAGTGCGCATAACTCCCTTCTAAACACCGACAGCGAAGGCCGCAAAGGGTACTAACGACGAAAAAATCTCGTAAGCACCTTCGAAACAATAGTGAGTCTAAGATTTCCGAAAGCACACACGGTTCAATGGGTAATAACATTGAACAAACCTCATCCCATACATTCGGAACGAGGATCCTAATATCCCCTATTACATACAGTGACTGTGTTAATGACATTCGAACGACTCTCGCCGGAAGTTCCACAATTCAGCAACTGCTACGACCTATTACTTGTGCCAGAAAATCAAATCAACCACTACCCACGAACCACCCACTGCTTATTCTAGGGAAGCTTTCTAGGTAAGTCGAGAGCGACAGAATCGTTCCGATACAAAATCAAAAAACAATTTCTTCTCACCGTTTAACAAATTACACTCGATCTACGCTGAAAATGGGGGTAATACTTGCTACAATAAAATCACACTATAATCCCTAAAATTAGACATAGATCACTCCCTTCCTACCTAAATTAGCCACAACCGAAGAAATATCCTCTCCGAATCGCACAAATTTCAGCCGAGTTTCAAAAATTAGAGAAGAATATGCCCGAACTCACGCTAAATCGACGAAACGGGATCAAGATTGACTCACATGTGTGTCGTCTGGTTGTCACCGTTGGTAACTCCCCTTCCCCACCGACACGCAGGTGTTAAACCCCTGTAAATCTACAATCGAAACACTACTCACCGATGTTGTGTATATATTACCTCAACCTATCACCTCTATGTATCTTAATCCCGTGAATGGACTTGGCGGGCTTTACAGAGAATCTTTACCGCTCTTTTCAAGCTACAGGGTAGGCAAGTAGGGTGTGGATTTTATTTTTGAAATCTCTACCGTGATTTCACAGTAAAAATTAAATCCAATCCACCAACCGAACACAGCCGTAGGTTGAGACGAAGGGAGTATAAAAATTGAAGCAGCCGATGGAATAAGTCAAATCAATACCAAAATTCAATTTTATTATATTGGGCTCAGATTTGGGCCGGACTAAATTAGTTGGGCCGGTGCGTCCGTACGGAAAGCCCAAGAGGATTTTGTCGACAACATTCTGTAGTTCTTCGCACATCTGTGGATCGGGACTGTTGTTTCAGCATTGGTGTGACTGGTTGTTGTTGTTGATCGGTTTGTCCGGCGATGTTCAATTGAGAGCTCTTAGTTCCTTTGTCGATGACTTTGCAAGCTCTGCGTAGGAGACAGCACACTGGGGATGCTGATAGAGGGACACGCGATGGTTTGAAGGCATCGGAGTCCGATTCTCTGATGGAGCCGTTGCTGGAGAGTCGAGATTGTGGCGGTAATTGGAATTGCGAGGTGATTTATATTCCTGGAAAGCGAGAGGAGGGGTTTTTGTTTGGATTTTGCTTCATTTTTGTTTAGAATTTTGACTTGGAATTTGAATTAGGCGCAATCCGTTTCGGAGGTTAGCGGCGATGGAAGGAGTAAAGAGCATTTGCATTGGATGGTTCTTTGTTACCAAATAATCAAGCGATGTGCTCAGTGGTTGGGTATGCTGTTCTTGTGGTGTTCTAATTGTTTTGTTTGCATTATTGCTTCTGCTTCCATTGATTTTCTTAAGCTTTTGAAGGCTAGGGTTTTGAATATTGTATGAGATTTTCCTTGGAAGATTCTGTTTGGATGTATTTCGAATTTTTGAATTTTGTTAGATTTCTTAGCTAAGCTTGGGTTTAATATTCTTTGAAGTTTCTGAGATTTCTTTTACTCCTTTAATTTCAATTACTTCGATCCAAACATGGCCACTGTGGCGCCTATTTACTTTCTAATTTTGAAATGAATCTATATTTTTCATAGTTGATGCTTATAGGCTGGTAGCCATGCATTTGCAGATTATCTACTGCACAAAAACAATCTTTTAAGAAAATACCGAAAAATTACTCAGAAAAAGTAAGATTATATTTATGAAACTAGAGGTTCCCAACTCTGCATTGTAATTAGTTTTGTTCCATAGCTGTAACTTTAAAGAATGGATTCATGTTGCTTGGAATTTGGTTTATGTGCACCCGAGGTTTTCAGAGCATAAGTTTTTATGTTTAAGATGGTTTAACCTATGCAAAAATCTTGATTGTTTAATTGGAATGTTATAATGTTTTAATTATTTTTTATTTTTTCTCTTTTGGTTAGCAGAGTCCTGATGATGTAAGGTCTGCTAATCAATCGATCTATTGTTTGATTTCCAGTTAATATTGTCCTTGAAACTGGTTCGCACATCAGACGTTGTTTACCATTCATAACATCTGATCATAACAAAACAATCAGCAACTGCAATCAGCCACCTGTTTTACTTAGTTCTTTGCAGGTACCGACCAATTATTTTGATTGAATGCAATATATGAATTTTTTGTCACAATCGTATCTCTGCCATTATGCATATATGACATTATCTAACTTTATTTTCTTTTGATTATTGTGTTGTTTGGTCAATAGGAAGTAAGGTTAAAGCAACTAAAGCAGAGACTGGCAGTTCCTTTCAACAGTTCTTTCCCGGAGCATCAAGTATGTAAATATGGCAATGCTCAAATTCTTCTATCCGTCTTTTTTTTTGTCTTTTTTATGGGAATTGGTGCAATTGATTTTATTTCACGACCTATGCCCAACCATGCAAGAAGTTAACAAAATCTACATCTGACTATATTAAACTTTTCAGCATAGTTTCCCCATGGCGGTATATGTAATAATGTATGTCCTCTATGTGGCAGGTCGAGATGTAATAATGTACATTCCAGAACAGCTATATATTTTTGAAACTGTTGTAGCATGTAATAATGATATGAGGGCAGAATTTATTTAATCACTGAATTAGTTTTGCTTTTTTCCATTTGTGTGATGACTACTTACTAATTCCTGATATCCATCATTTGACGACCATGAGTAATTTTTGCATCTGCTTGATTAGCCATTTTATGAATTTCATTTAGTCAAAATTGCTCATATCTCCTATGTGGTTTTAAAATTCACTGTAAATTCCCCTTGTATTTTAAAAATTGCATAGCTCTTCTTATACTTTAAAAAACGTTGGATAAAATCCCCCTCTATGCAAAAAATGTAGATGAGAAATCATCTTCTTATCACACGAAAAATGTAAAAAGGGTTTTCATGCAACCTCTTTTAAAGCATAAGGGGCGCCATGCAATTTTTAAAGTAGGGAATTTACAATGAGTTTCGAAAAACTCAGCCATAGGGGAGTTATGGATAATTTTTCCTTTCATTTAATTTACAATGTAAATTGCTTGACTTGAAATTTATATTTTGTTGCATCCTCTAACCCCTATTAAATCACTTGATTTCAAGCTCACTTCTAATATTCATAGCTTTATAGTTAACATGACATTTCAGCTCCCAACAGTCTCTATTTTTGGACCGAAGGTTTTTACATGTAATCTATTAATAAAATTTTCACTTGCTTTCTATCATAGTTTTACAAAAATGGCTGTTTAATAAAGGAACATAGCATTTAAACAAGTCTATATTCATTTTTATGCTTCTCAGGATGCTCTTAGACAACTATGGAAGTTAGCCTATCCCGATACAACACTCCCATCACTTAAATCAGAGCTTTGGAAGGAGATGGGTTGGCAGGGATCGGATCCCTCTACCGATTTCAGGTATCTCATAATGTGTATTTTTTAGTTTGTTAAATGAGATTTCTGTATGCTTTGAATCTATTTGTAAAATCGAGAACCTGCTTAGGGGTGGAGGATTCATATCGCTGGAGAATCTGATCTTCTTTGCCAAGGCATATCCAGTTAGTACTTTTCTTTGTCTCTGCGCTTTTTAGTGATCCATTTCAGAATTTTCCTTTCTAGTACTTTCCCGAGTGAATAATAATAGTAATAAAAACAAGGGTAAATTATATAATACTAACTTGTGTTTTAATAAAAATGCACAAAATATTTTGTATTTTATTTATTGCGTGAAACTCATATGTTAAATTAAAAAAGGTACAAAACACTATCGTCCAAAACTGATATTTGGTTGCAAACGCACACCTAATTATGTAAATAAATAAAATAAATAACGGTTACCTAATATTTACAAAAAAACTATAAAATAAAATATTGATGAATTATTTATTTATTTATTCTATTAAACTAAGGTTATTTAAAAATTTTACTTTTTTTACTTTATAAAATTTGCATAATTATGTGTGTATTTACAATCAAACATCATTTTTTTACAAATAGAGTATGCATACTTCAATTTAACGCACGGGGCTTCCCACAATAAATAGAATACGAAGTGTTTTGTACATTTATACTAATAAACAGGGGGTATTATATTTATACTAATAAACAGGAGAGTATTCTGCAATTTACCCTAAAAACAATAATCTAAACTTTGACGTATCAGTATTCAGTTGATTGTGCATTTGAGATTGTAAAACTCAGATTTCCTTTAAAATTGGCGTCATGCATCGCATTTCCTCTGGAGGAATGGTACAAGTTGCATATTTAACAATTTATTATGTTTGCATTACATTATAGGAAGCTTTTCAAAAGTTACTGCACAAGAGAGACGGAGATAGGTCCGAATGGGAGTATCCATTTGCCGCGGCTGGCATCAATATATCATTTATGCTGGTACAAATGTTAGATCTTCATTCAGGTACATAACTTCGAAGAAACTGATTTGTTCATGCAATACAGATAAGTTGCATTGTCTAATTTACTGCTCACATCTGATCAAGTATAATTTGCCTGTTATTTCATCCTATTTACAGTTTCTTGAAATTACTAACAAAATGTCGACGGGTTTGTTTAATTGTGTTTTGGATTAGTAAAAGTTTGAAGTGAAACAGTTGTTTGATATGCTGTTTTGGTAATATGGATTTTTTAAATTGAAAATTATGTATTTAGGTGGAAAAATATTGGTTACTGTGGGGAAATATTGTGATATCATGAAGCACAACCAAACACAGTCTTAATTTCTGCTTAAATGCTCAATATTTTAAATTTCAAAATTCTCGTGCAGGAATACCGAGAACTGTGGCTGGAAAATGTTTCCTCAAATTGCTTAGCGAAGATGAGACAGCTTTCGACCGCCTTTTTTGTGTTGCCTTCACAACGTTGGACATGCTGTGGCTTGCAAGGCGAGCCTCGTACATGGAATTCAATGTAAGAACAAATCCTGTTTATCCAAAAAACTTCGGTTACTCTGAAACAGTAGAGTAACATAACAACATAAATTCTCGTACAGGAAGTTCTCAAGTCGACAAGATTGCAACTCGAACATGAGCTGGCGCAGGAAAACGTGTGGAGTGTAAGAGATCTGCCATCTTATAGTCTACTAAAAGGATAAACTAAGTCCTTGATTCTTTGGGCCTTCTCAGTTGTTCGATGTCTCTTGAAAGATCTGCATCACTCCATTGTTGTCCGAATTGGTAAAAAGTACAAAGAAAGAAAGATTCATTCCCATAATATATATATATATATGTATATGTATATGTGTGTGTGTCTCAGGAATGCACGATATATTGACCTGCCTTTGGTTTTCTCGGATCAGACACTTACCCTCGGCTGGCGATTTTAGGTACCATTATCCACCCCATCTTTTATTTTTATGAAGTTTTTTATACACTAGTTTTGGGGAGGAAATTGGATCCAATTTAGTGTCCTATGTAATGTCACCTTGCTTGACTTTAATCGCTGGCGCAGTGAAATTAAGAAACCCTTCCACTTGGCGCCCGATTTTGAAGTTTGAAAATTTAAATTCGATCATGTTCGAGAGGAGACCCTTAGCCTCCAGTTTCACCCGGCCCCCCTCAGCATGGGAGGCCGGGTAAAGAAGGGGGCTGAGGATCTCATATGGTTGGAGGTTTATATTTAGTTGCATACGAATGTGGATAGATGGGTGTGTTTCTTTGGGTTAGTTCGGGGATTTTATATTTAAATAATATTTGATGTGATTTTTTTGTTAAAGTTGTAAAAATTTTGCCAAAGGAATGCAGCCCCTGAAAATATACCATTCGTATTGAGTATCTATGCTAAAACTTTTGGATTTTGAGTTGGGATTTGAATAGTAAAAGTTTTGAATTTGAATAGTTGTATAATGTGATATAAATAGGTATTGATGTGATGTTTTGAATGTAAAATTGATTTTTAATATAATATAAAAATGAAAAATAAGTGTTTGATTTGATATTTTTGGGGAAAAAAAATTGGATAAATAGTGGATTTAGGGACAAATCCCCCAAACAATCACACTCTAAATTTAATGTTCCGTTTCATAACAAATGGAACAAATGATGTATTTTTTTTTATTTTAATTGATATTATATATATATATATATATTTGGTTAAAATTTATTAATTCAAAACCTATTTAATACATATAAATTAATTTTATTAATTTTATAACATATAATATCATATATATATAATAATAATATTCATATTTACAACTATTCTCAATAAATAAATATTAATTCTAAATAAAATAATATTTTGTATTGAATTATTATTTGTTTAAAGAGAATAGAGTATATATATTATTCATATTATATGAATATGTGTATATATTGTATTTTTTATGAGTATTTATCGAAAGTTGTACTGGTGTATTTGTTTTATGAAATAATTTGAAGGAATATATATATATATTATATGAACCCAATCGTGTACAGGGCGGAAAAAAACATGAAAAATTAATTATATAATGTAAAATTAATTATATAATTGTATGAAAAATTATGTAAACCATGTAAAATTAATGTATATATATAATGTGGGAGAGAAAAACTAAAATAACAATTAGTTTTCTTTACTTACACATGTAAAAACATATAATAGTTCATTTTATTTTCCTTTCCTACATTGACTAACCAAACATGAAAAATACTGGGTTTGTTTGATTTTTAAAATGATTTGAAAGAAAAATAATTTTTATGTGAAATATACAAAATCACTTAGGAACTATAAAAATAACAAGAAATAATATATCAATTTTTTTAAGGAATAAATATGTGTTATTTTTACAAAAAGAACACACCCCAATTATTTTTCATCGTCTTTTTGAAACCAAATATATTACTATTTCATCGGTTCCAATTAAAATTAATATACTTTATTATCATTTTTATTGATTCTATTAAAATATTTTTATTTTAATAAAAATAATTATGTATTAATATCAAAATATTTTTAAATTTTTATATAATTAATTTATACATAAAATAACAAAAACAAAATTATTAAAATTATTTTATATATTTTTACTAATTAATGAAATATTATTTAATCGGAGTGAGTATAATTTCGAGTTATCCTCTCTCTTTCATGAGCCAAACACACCCCTAATGTCTTATTCAACTAAGAATTGCCATATTGATTGAATATATCGTAGGATACACAAAAATAGGTCCCGAGGGAGGAGGGGCTTTGTTTAATCTATCAAATCTTTCTTCACAAATTTGCAGATGAAATTTCCAACAATTTGGAGGATCTGTGTTTATTTGTGCGTATCAAACAGAATCTCACTATTTACTATTTTTATTTTCCTACAAAAGTCAAATAGGACACGAAATTTAAAGAATATTGATAATTGATAAAAAGTAAGATAAATGATTTTTTGCCCTTGTGACTATATTAGTATAAAAAGTATGTGACAACTGTGTAATAATAATGAAAAAGTAGGAATAATTTTACGGTGATATGATTATTTATGAAAATGAGACTATTATTATAGAACGAACAAAAATTGTAAACAAGACTATTATATTTAGACGGATGGAGTATTATTTTATATATATATATATATATATTAGATTTAAAAATTAATTTTATATTTAAAATCTTAAGCCCAAACTGAACCCCCAAACCGACTAGCGCACGGAGCACATAATCAACTAGAGTTAGAACAATACCACAACCTCAAGTCCACTTGCCACACATGATTCGCCTAGTGTAACTTGTCTGTCGAGCCTAGTTTGCAGGATAGGTTCGGCCGAAAGTTTACCCAGTGCGTACTTTCGGATAGCAGATGCGGTTTCCACATCATAAAAAAAAAAAAAAAACCAATAAAAGGATTCCTATGCCATAAAAAAAATAATAAAATAAAATAAATATACGAATAAAAGATGGCATTACGGTTTAGAAATAGATTTTTGACCGTTAAATCTCGACACATGCAGATTTTATCTGTCATAACCACCTTTGATTGTGTTACTTTATAAAAATACGCATGAGTGTCATGTAAAAATATAAAATTACTAGAGTGATAATGAGCAATATACAAAACTATCTTATCATCCCATTCTTTCATCGTTCAAATAGTCTTAAGACACGCACGTGACACTCTAACACATGCATTATAATATTTTAATTACTTTATAAAAAGCACACATGAGTATTAAGCACAAATATAAAATCATTAGAGCGATATACGAAACTATTTACAAACTATTACGGGCGACTAACAAGACCAACATTGAAAGTTTTCCTATAAGTGAACACTTCTTATCATTTTGTTTCTTTAACTAGACCATGTCATGTCCGGAAATCGTAATCATCTCATTCTCCGTAATAATTTGTAAATAGTTTCGTATATTACTCATTATTGCTCTAACGATCCTATATTATTCGTGAGTAACACTCATGCGTGCCACCGACAAGACCAAAACTATAAAATTTTCCTGTAAGCGGACATATTATTTTGTTTCTTTAACTCGGACCATGTCATGCCCGGAAATCTTAATCATCTCATTCTTTAGCATTCTAATAGTCTTATACAAACATGCGACGCTCACGCATATGTTATGATTTTCCGCTGTGTTACTCTATAAAAACACGCGTGAGTGTCACACACAAATATAAGATCATTAGAGCAATAACGACTGATATACAAAACTATTTCCATACTATTACGCGCCACTAACAAGACCAAAACTGTAAATTCTTACCATTTCTCCGAGTACAGCAATTTCCTTCCATGCCTTAACTATATCAAAAAACAAAAGAACCTGAATCCACATCGATGGGATGAATCTCCGTTAGATTCCCTCTGTTACGGACAACTCCGTCCTGACCTGCATACAACGCCATTTTTCATATTTTTGGTTGTCCTAAGGTGTTTGTCTCTATCGTTCCTTCCGCTGAGGTTCAAGGATCGGCAAATAGAAAGGATATCCAAAAAGAATCATTTCAAGAAACAACTTATAATCATGTCATCGTTTCAATTAATTATAACCTTCACAGTATATTTCGCATCATAAAAAAGCAAAAGGATTTATCGACTTAAAGTAAGTAATCCCCCCGATTCATGTAAGAATTACCTGCAGCTGCAACTATTTGCAACTCTCATCGCGACATGAAACAGGCGTTTCATTCTCTATTATGAGTACTTGAGAGATCAATGTCGGGAACGACCTCGATGTCCCTGTCAGGCTTTTCGTAGAAGGATTTCATGATACTTAGTATAGTTAAAAAAAAAAAAGAAAAAAACTGGTTGAACAACAAATGCAAGAATGTATATTAATTACCTTCCAAAGCTTCAATAAACACCAGAGCAAATAATCGATTATCATTACTACGCAGAAGATCTTCCCAGCCCAGGCGCCGCATGAAAAGTACCTAAAGCCAACACAATCTCAGGATCATCTTAAGCAGCATGGAAATCCAGGTAGAGATGGCAATGGGTCGGGTCCAGGCGAACCCGAGACCCGATTATACCAGGACCCGACCCGAACAATACCCAATGGACCTGACAGACCTGAACTAATTTTTTACAATTCTTAAAATTTAACTTCAAATTAGACCGAATCCACTCACCCGACATATATTAAAATTTATATAATTTATTCAAAAATATTACAATAAATAATAAATAAATAAATAAATTAAACTGAAAATATATTTTTTTAATATATACAATTAATATATTAATAATATATTAATCGGGTTCTGATCGGGGTATCCGGACCCGTTAAGGGTATACGATACCCAACCCAGACCCGAATTCAATATCCAAATAATTGAACCCGACCCTAAATAAATGGGTCGGATCTCGGGTCTACCCAGACCCATTGTCATCCCTAAGCCCAGGGACTATGGCAAATTCATGTAACCGTGTTTATGCCAACTAGTAAAAACAAGTTGACTGCCGTATAGTTGTTGGATCGGAAACCAGATATCATACATGGTGTCATAATAAACATACCTGGGTAGACGTTCTAAGAGATCTTGACCGGAACACTGGAAAGCACGGTTGTAGACGATCTCTGTCCTTTTTGCAACATCATGCCAACTATAGAGTTTCTTCATCTGCCAAGGGATGAAACAAACTAAGTCCAGCAAGTGTACTTAAGACTGTATAATTTCCGCAATGTGTCAGAGAACTTACACGATCGTGCATTGCTTGTGGGTCAATTCGGGGAAGCAAGTTTATTGCATTTGTAATAGCCAAAACCATGTCGCTAGGATCAGGCTCTGCAAGAACAATCATATCGTCGGGAAGAACCTGGGAAACAGAGGAGGATAATATTCTCAGAAAGGTGAAAATATTCAAGAGGAAATCCATCCCCAGTTCATAACATTACATAAATTTTGTTTATTGAACTATCTAAAAGTCGAATAGCGTAAATCATGCCTCAGGTACGCCGCCCACGCGTGTACTGACAGTCAACAATCCACAACTAGCAGCTTCCAATATAGCTATACAAAATGCTTCGGTTAATGAACTGCCAGAAAGGACAGAAAATGCATCACAACCACTTCCATTACAATGAAGACATTAAGGAAATTCCAAACTCCTGAAGGACTATTTTCTAGGCATAATATTCACGCGTTACCTGGTTGTGTTTGATTGGAGGGTTTTTTAAAGTTTTGTACTATTCACCAAATTTTCCCTCAAAAAACATTAAATCAAACACCTATTTTCATTTTTTATATAATACTCCCTCCGTCCCAAACACCCTGCAACATTTCCTTTTTGGTATGTCCCAACCACCTTGCAATATTTCCAAAATAGGAAATAATTAATTATACTTAATCTCTATCTCACACTTTATCCACTCACATCGTACAAATAAAAAAATATATATATATTTCTCTCTCCATCACATCACCTAATTTCTAAATTATCCTACTTAATACTACCCACCTAAAAACCCGTGCCAAAAGCAAATTTGCACCTTGTTTAGGACGGAGGGAGTACTAAAAAATCAATTTCACATTCAAAACATCGCGCCAATACTTATTTATATTAAATCAAACAACTATTCCAATTCAAAATTTACTATTAAAAATACAAACTCAAGACCCAAATGCCAAAACGAACACCCTAATTAGACTTGATCAAAGTAATACCTGTTTAAGAATATATGTCCAGTCACCAAAACTGATCGTACTTTAGCATGTGGAACTGCACCCAACATATCGACTCGATCTTGCAAAGAGTGCTTTTCCCTCATCTCTTCCAACCGCACTCTTTTAGGCCCGTCACCACCAATCACAAACCGTACCTTATATAAGTCATGATTGATGAGATCAGAAATTAGCATTAAGGCATATTAGCAATACAATAAATTAATAAAGATACTCACATTTGGATGCAGATTACACACTTCAGGTATGATTTCAACGAGTAGATCTGCTCCTTTACGGTAAACCAACCTACTTATTACAACAATAACAATTTCTTTGGAGCTGAGACGCTCGGGAGCAGGCTTGAACATGGCCGTGTCCACAGCATTTGGAATGACAAAAACCTTTTCAGGTGGAAGCCCTGATCGTAGAACTGTATTCTCCTTACTCGTGTGTGAAACACATATGGCCTGGGTCACATCTGCTAGTGCAAATTGCAAAACCTTGTTCATGTGAATACTTCCCACATCAGCAAAACCATAAAGAGAATGATCGGTAAACACAACTTTGTATCCCATTGTGCGCGCGTGCATCAGAGCTTCGTGACAGAGCGTTGAAAAGGTTTGATGTCCATGCACTATCGATATCCTTTCTCGTATCAAAACTGTTCTTACAATCGGAAGATTCCCAAACAATGTGGGAAATGTACTCTGCATGAACATGGTCATCCATGGCACGTAATAAACCTTCAATCCACCGGTCATGTACCTCACTCCGGAACGGTTCCCATAAGCATGGGTCATAACAACTACCTGAAAACACAAAAATCATTAAATCTGCAGGACGCACAAAGTAAGACATAGAAATATAGAATGCACAAACCTTGTGGCCACGTTTGATTAAGCATTGTGATAGGTAATAAATATGATTCTCTACACCACCAAAGTTAGGGTAGAAAAAGTCAGACACCATTAATATTCTGTGCTTTCCTGGTTGGCTCATCTTATCCTCAAACTCACATGCCGACCATAGAAAGGCAAGTCAAAACTGCAGCGAAAAGTTTTAAGAAAATTAGAATACATGCTCAGCATATACATCATCTAACTCAACAATCCTTTTTTATTTTTCATGCCAGCTTTCACCTGACATATTGCAAATCCAGCATACCAATTTATTTCAAGTGTTACACCGAGATGTACAAAAATGCAGGCTGACAGTGAAAAACACATTGTGGAAGTTTAAACCAGCAGAATTCAGAAAGAAGAAACAGAAACACATTGCATCGGAGGGTTGAAAATTTTGCTTCATGTTCATATGTTCTTACCTCTTTCAATTTCAGAAGTGAAAATACTAGGAATTTTTACATTGCATTCTGAGTTTCTTAAACCATTTTGATCCTACAGTTTTTTGTCTTTTTTTCCCCTAGTGGTGGGCATGAGTTAGAAAAACTCAAAGTTCAAAATAATATTTGATTTACTTTTTTTCAAAAGATTGAACTAGGAAAGACTCCTAAATTCACACAACATTTCATCAGTGCTTTATTCAAAAACTAATGCAAAAGTCCTAAAATAAGTGAGATAGATTTAGAATCTGCTACATTCTTGGACATATTTTCAAAATCCATCGAAAGAATACCATACACAAACACTACCACTACCACTAGCACTACCACGGAATTTTCAATTCCAGAAATTTCAAACTCCAGCAAAAGCTTCCAAATAATCAAGAGGCAAGAATATTTGACACAAATTTGCATATGTCGAAACTCAAACAAAATGTATAGATGAACAACCGTACCTGGAAGTTTTGTCTTCTGTCCTCTCCTCTGTTTCTCCCTCCTTCAGTCATCGACTTTGTTTACAGTCAGAACTTTCTGGTTTTGTCTACCAATTCATTTTTTTCCTCCTATTTCTTCATATCCTACAATGCAAAAGTTTGAGATAATTGAATGTTCAAATTCTCTGTTCTTTGATGGCTGAGAGAAAAAATCCGTAGCAATCTTAGATTCACATGTTCATAACACAGTGCAATTCGGCCAAAATCTATCAAATAAAGCATTTGAAATCCTTAATTAAAAACACCACCACCATCTTCGAACAAATTATTTGTTAACCTAACAATCGAAATTCAACAAAGATTAACAAGCTAGATTCGAACATAGAATTTCATCTGGCTTCATGTTTACAATTCTAAGTAAGTAAGATCACGTATACCTGGCCAGGCATTTCATCGAACACATACCAATCCATATTATACTTAATTCCAATAGAACGATACCTAGAAATTTGTAATCAGCGGCAAGAAAAGAATATTGAACTGTATAACCTGAACAGATGGGTAGATTCTCGATTCCTCAAACGCAATCGGTCGTACTGCTGCCCAAAAACACCTAATCGACGGTAGTGCAAGAGCAATCAAAACAGCAGTCAATGCACAATTCTGTCTGAACGAATTGCACCTGAAATCCTCCAACTCAGTTATGACTCTTATGCCCTAGCTACAAGTTCAGTTGCGGAAATTCGACGACGCCATTACAATTTACAGAAGCATAATCAACGGTCCTCAACAAAGAAGATGCAGACTTCCAAAAAGGCCCAGAGATGATTAGACATGCCCAATATGTTTCAAACCGGCGGTTATCGAACCGAAACCGGTTTTTACACGGTTATATTTTCTTCGAACAGTAAACCGTCGGTTCGAATCGAAAGTTCAGCGTTTTTTTTCTTTTAATACTACTTCTTCCTCCGTTCCAACACAATTGATACTATTTTATTTTTGTTACGACATACTCAAAACCCTTTATTTATATTGATCTCTCCTAAAAAAATAATTTTTTTTTTATGTATATTTAAAACTATATATCTTTTGAAAAATTGTATTATGTTAATTATAAATAAACAAAAATATTTTTTTATTTATTTGTATTATAGAAAATTTTATTCTATACAAAATAATATTCAGGTTGTATATATTTTTTAATTTCTATATAATTTTTAAATATTTAAACATATATTTTAATTTTTTTAATAATATATATTAGATTTACTTTAAAACTATAAATATTATTAATTATAAAAAAATAATATGATAACATCATAACTAATTATTTTTAACTAGTTAAACATTCATACCTTAAATGCCATATCCTAATCAAAGAGTTCAATTTTGGTGGAACGGAGGGAGGGAGTATATATTAACCTCACCGGTCAAGCGGTGACAGTCGTAACAGGGAATAAATAGAGATGAACAAAATATTTGAAATTTGAAAATTTGATCCGAATAAAATCGAATTTAAAATTTATTCGGATTGATTCAGATTGAATTTTTGACAAATTTCGAATTTTCGAATTGGTTCGGATTTAATTTTTGACAAATTTCAAATTTTCGGATCGGATCGATATACTTATAATTCGAATCGAAATTCATTTTTCTATTTTGGTCCGTCTCATAACCAAGTATCAATTTCTCTTTTTAGTAATTGTACTATCTATCTAACACTACAAATATCCTTCCAATTTACAATATATAACACAAATGTCATTACCTTTATATCATATAATACTAATAGGTTTAATTTAGTTTTTTTACTTTTATTTCTACTTTATCCCAATATAATACTAATATTTCTAAAATTTCATCCAAAAAGCAAATGAATATATAGATATTTCAGATTTTTCGGTTTGGTTTGGATTTCAGATTTTAGTTTGATTCGGATTAATTTTTTCAAAAATTTTGAATTTTCGGATCAGTTCGAATTTGGCAAAATTCGAATCAAAAACCCGATTGCTCAACCCTAGGAAGAAGAAGACAGTGAAGGCGGTGGATGTTCTTTTGGAAGATTTTGTCTAAAATTCTACTATTTAGCAAAAAAAATTCTCTTACAAACATCCAATTAATGTATTGAAATTTTGGCTAAATAGTATAATTTTAGACAAAATCTTTCAAAAGAACATACTCGATAAATACTAATATTTGAACTAAAATTGATATATTTTAATTATAGTATGATTATTATTTTTTTTTCCATTTTAACTATATCAACTATTCTAAATTCAAAAAAAATAATATTTAAAAATATAACAAAAAATTATAATTTTAGACCGAAACAGAAAGATACACGGCCGTGTAGAATTATACATGACCGTGTAACAACATGATCATGTATAATTATACACTGAAATATAAATGGTCATGTAGCAACATGGCCGTGTATACTTGTACATGGCTGTGTAACAACATGGCCATATATAATTATACACTGAAATATACATGGTCCTGTAACAACATGGCCGTGTATAATTGTACACGGCCGTGTAACAACATGGCCATGTATAATTATACACTGAAATATACATAGCCATGTAACAACATGGCCGTGTATAATTGTACATGACCGTGTACTTTCCAGGTCAACTGCCACGTCACATCCGTCATGTCCACGTCAGCAATTTCCGTTAGTTTTTTAACGGTGGGACCAAAATTGATAAAAATTGTTTATAATGGGACCAAAATTGATTGAAATTGTTTATATTGTGACCAAAATTGATGAGTTTTTTTATATTGGGACCAAAATTGATACATTTTGGTTATATTGAGATCAAAATTGATGAATTTTTTACATTGCGACCAAAATTGATTAATTTAGATTATATTGGGACCAAAATTGATTTTTTCCAAAAAAAAATTTCAAATAAAGTATATACAATATAAAATTAATGTACTTATTTGTTAATCTCAAATATGTTCAAGCCTCCCGAGGTGACTAGTGGTCCGATTCGGAGGAATAGATAGGCTGGCCCAAATAATCTTAAGTCAATCCAAATTTGTATACAGTCAAATTTGTATGCGGATAAGAATAAGAATAAGATTAATTTGGATGATGAATATAAGGAGAGAGTGAATAAAAAACTTCTTTAAAAAAAAACAAAAATAGGGAATATGAGGATATTACGGATAAGGTTCATCAGATGCATTTAAAAGGGAGTTAATATATAGAAAAGAGGATCCATCCAAAAAAAAATAATACAAATATCCGGCTTTTATATATTTTGCTTTCTTATTTGCTTTTTTTTTTTTATTTTTTATTTTTCTTCCTAAATTCATGTTATTTTTTTTCCAATTATCCATTTCTTAATCAAATTCGTTTTTGTTTATATTGTTTTATTCCGATTCTTTCAATTTAATAGTTTAATTTTCCCATACAATTAGAATCGTTAATCACAAAAGACAAACCAATGAAGGCAATCAATCCATCATTAATTTGTCTATTCTTCGGGCAAATATTACAGCTACCATCAGTCGCAATTGTTAGAACTCAGGCAACTGAGCCGGATGACCCATGCTCATGTTCGTGTTCATCTCCTTCCCTCTCGGATGATTTTACATACCATCTTTTGAGGCGCACTGAAGCCTTTAGTACCTACACGAGCATCAATGATTGTCTGAATCTTTTAGCTTATTTTCGAGTCACCAAGAGTTTACTTTTAAGACAATAGTTTTCAATGGTTGTAAAAAGTACCTCTTCATCCCAATTGGTACGCCACATCATGAAGGTCAATACGATAGTCTCTGCTATGACTCCGCTTAACATTCCAATCCATATACCCTACCAATGTTAGAAGATATTTGGATTATGAGCGCTTAGTAAAATTGCACGTTGAATGTAATCGAAACAAATTTGTTATACATAATGGTTTTTAAGTAAAAACTTTGTTGTTAATCAAAATGCATAGAGCACGTGCTTACATCAAATATATATTTTTTCTCTTTAAACATTATCTCAAATACTCAATTTTTTTTTTCCTTTTTCAAAGTTCTTCAAGAATCTCTGTCTAGATGGATTTAAGATAACTAAAATTTTACTAAATTTAAAAATAATTAAAGGTTCTAATAATTAAACTTAAAATATTAAAAATATGAACTTCAAATCTAAGTATAAATTCAATGAATTAATGGTTTCTAACAATATATATATATATATACACCAAGAACGGATTTAGATTATGAATTTGAACTCAATTAGTGAATTTAAATGATAATTGTGGAACAACCGATCGAATGGTTTTGTTTATTTGTGCTTAGTTTTACTATACAATGTCATGTTAGTTAAAAATTCAATATATATATATATATATATACTCCCTCCATTGTCCAATTATGTACTCATTTGAACAGATACAAATTTTAAGAAAAATAGGTAAAAATAAATTTTTTTACTTTTTTGGATAAAGAAAAAGTAGAAAAATTGGTATTTTTTTACTAAAAAAGATAATAAATTTGGATGACAACCAAAAAAAAAAAAAAGAGAATAAATTTGAATAAAGGAGGAGTATTATTTTTACCTAAAAAATATTGAACGGCCACAAATAAAAAAATAAACATACAAGCAAACTTAGAACTCTCTTTAGAAGGAAATTCATGGGTACGTTTGAGTATTACCTTTACATGAAGCGAGGTCACATATACGAGCAAGATTCCGAGGGGTAAACCGATTACATAAAAGCATACGAGATTCAAAATCGCCACAGTGGCTTGCATACCCGCCCCGACAGCCACGCCTAATCGACACAAAAATAAAATAAAAACCTTAGAGCCAAATATTTCGAATATATATTACTCCATTTAGACAAAAGTTTTTAGAATTATGGAGTTTTGAAAAAAATTGAAAAAAAAAAGTATTTAATATAATTAATACTCTCTTCATTTCGATCCCAAAAATAATAAAAATAATACGTTCAATTGAGACGAAAGAGTATTTTATAAAAAAAAAAAAAGGTATTTAATATATTATATTTGTGTGTTTTTTCTTTTTTAAGTTATTGTTCATTAACAATGTCAAAACTTCCAAATATATATGTATATATGGTATGATCCTGTATATATATAAGGAAAAACAACCCGAGAAAATCGGATAAATGCTATTGAATAACACGGAGAAAGCAAGCAAGATGGATAGATCGGACACGGTCTTTACAACTTCCTCGTTTTCACTAAATAAGTACCCGATTTTATTCCCAAAGATCAAGCATACGGCCCAAATTGCCAATCCTATTATAAGAGAGGTCGAAAGTAGGACTTTAATCGCAAATTTTACGGCTTTGGCATCTCCTCGTATGAGCTCATTCGCTACACGCACACTACAAATTAGAACAAACAAAAAAAAAGTTTTGTCAAAAAAAAGTTGTCATTGTAAGATCATATCTAATAGGACGGGGATCCCCTGTTGATTGGATCAATAAGCATAATGCTGATTTGACAAGTCAGCATATATAATAAATATAGACAACAAATATTTCTATATAGCATAGCATATGTTTTATTAACACATAGAATATACTTTGCTATAACACAACATATAATGTGTTATAAATATGCTATAATGTATATAAGATATGAAGTCTACATTTATTATATATATATATTGATTAGAACAAATCAACATCATCGATCGAATCAGTAGGAGATCCGCCTCCTATCTCTAATAAGTATACGGCAAAGAGTCGAATGAGTTTACCATGCAGCGCAGAGGAGTCCAAGACAAACCATGAATTCCCATGAATTGATATTGAGGCTGCAATATTTGTTTTGGTACCATG